TCATCTAGTCCAACCCCCTGCAATGCAACAATGTAAAGCAATACTGGGCAAATTGGAAGCAGCCAATGTGGCATTGTGATTCCAATTTTGGAGTAAGATCTGGGAGACCAGCTTTCAAATTCCCACACAGACATAAAACTCACTGGGTAACCTCAAACCAGAGTTCCTCAGCCTGACCTATCTCACAGGTTTGTTGTGAGGATAAAAAGAGGAGCAAGACGAACCATGCATACAACCTTGAACTCCTTGGAGGAAAGTTGGGTATAAATAAATAAATGGACTAAATTTTAGGAGGCAGCTTCCTATACTTTTCTGTTCCTAAAACCTCATGCAGAATCTTTCACAGCTGTGTTATCTTTTAATCTTTCAACCCCAGGAATCGAAGCTGTGCTTGTCAATCATCATCCTCATCATCATCATCATCATCGGTGCTTAATTCTGCCACACCAATTACTCGTCTTTCTGCTCTTGCAAGTGAAGAATTTCTAATGAGCTTTTCGCTTACCTGTGACTAATGTTGGATCAGATATTGTGATAGAAAGAGAGAGAGAACCAGAAGTAAGTAATCCTGTGCTTGAAGATTTGCAGACACCAATGCAACTCCCGAGTCTTGAGGAAGCATTCAATGCATTTAAGAGCTCATGACAAGATGTGCTGGATTGTGCCTGCTTGCCTTCATTTATGCTTAATCAGTTTGCCAGTGTCATGTGACAAGAGAAAAACAATTGTCACTGGGTTGTCAATATAGTCTTTAGAGGATTGTGATCAGGCACACTAACAGCTCCATTTGTAAAATATACAAAAGTGCTTTGAAAGGATCTGTTACACTTCAAAAGCTTGCAAGTAAGTTTTAAGCACTGAGAAGCACTTTGCTCCCCACGCTGGAGATTTCCAATTCACCCGGGGAAAGAAAGCCCAGCTAATGGGCTAGAAAGAGCAGGATGATGGTTCCAGCAAGAGGACCTCATTTTTTTCTGGGAAACCTCCTAGAAGGGGATACATACAGCCAATCTACTCCCACTTGTAAGCAGACAGTTCTGTTTGGATAAAAGGAGGATGCTTGGAATCTCTCAAGCCTCTTTGGTCCCAGATGCAAGCTACACAAATTCTATGCATGGCAGGAGAGAGTGCAGGAAGGTAAGGAAGGCCCTTCTCATGACAGAATTGAGGTGAATGGGAAGGATGAAGGCAGGAAAAGGTGCAGCAAGAGTTTGTGAGTACATTTGCTCCTCTGCTTCAGGCAGCAAAATGTCTGGCACCAGCACTAACACTTCACATCCTTTCTTTTAGTTTTTTCTCCTTCTCTTTGGTGTCCTCACATATTTCTTTTCCTTCATGCTCCTCCTCAAAGGCAACCTTTATGGTTAAGCTTCTGGACTCCTTTGTCTTCATCTCTCCTTCAGTTATAATATAGGATCATTTCCTGAACACACAGGAGATTGCTGAAGTATCTAGGCTGAGAAAAAAGAAACCTGCCCATGACTAATTGGAGCAATAACTAGTGGATATGACCATTTTAACAGGATATGAATTAGCCCTACCCGGCAGAGGCTGAATCTGGAATCATCTGCATGCAAACCACTCAGCCTCAGATTTTGGATACAAAACTCTATGTATAACTCTCTAACATACCTTGAACTGTGATTTCTATGCAAGGATATGAGAGGTTATTCTTTTGTTCCATTGCTTTTTCCCATGAAAACCTACTGTTTACTGTTGTTTTGGGCCAAACATCCGAAGGGTATTTGAAGGGACATTCAACCGCCTAGTGTTAGACCTTAAGCTACTAAGGCTATCAGGCACTGAGATCTCCAGAACTCATTCTTTCCTAGTCTGCCACTTGGGATCCCTATAATTATGTTCATGTCACTGTGCAAAATGCTTGCTAAATATACAAAAAAGTACAAAACACAGGGAATATTGCAGCCAATGGATACAGTAACATAAGAGCCAAGAGAAGTTTCTTCTGGAAAGTGGCGAATTCCTGTAGATATTCCCCCACTCCCACATGTCACCCCCTGCTAACTACGCAATATGTTGATTAAAAGGTAGAATCCCAAAGTATATACCAATGGCCACTTGGATGACTTTAAAAGTGTACTGAACATATCAATGGATGATCAATTTATATTCTGCCTCCTCTGTGTGATGCAGTATGCCTCTGGTGACCAATATGCAATATATACTGTCCTAATGTCAATCCTGAATCGTTATCAGGGTGGCTATTGTTAGAGAGAACAGTTTCATTGAAAGTTCCATAATATTCCTCTCCATCATTCAAAGAGGACAGTGATTGGAGGGTGTAATTGATCATTGTGATCAATCTTTGCTTTCATACTTCTTCTGGTGTTCTCTGGCTGGAAGAATTTAGAGAAAGGTAGAATTAGTCTTTACTAACAGAAATTAGCAAATACAAAGCTAATACTTTTCAGATTAGTCTTTCATGTTTTGTAGGTATTTTGGAGTGGGTTGTTAAGGGGAAATGACTCTTGCTCTTTAATTGCCAGGCAAAGGGGCCAGTGGGGCTTGCAGCTACCTGAATATATGGGGGGGGGGGGTTCAGATCTTATCTGTGATACGGTTCCCTTTTTCCCAAAAGTAAAAATGCAATATTATAACAAATGTAAGAACCTAGGCAGGTATAGGGTGGTATATAAATTTAAATAATTAATGATGCCATATTATTATTTTTATCACTCCCCTATAATACTAGAACTCAGGGCCACCCAGTGCATCTAAATGCTGGACAATTCAAGACAGACAAAAGAAAATGCTTCTCTGCACAGCAGATAGATAAACTGTGGAATCCACTCACAAAGTATATACTAATGGCCAGCAACTTGTTTCCTGTAAATTTCTGTGTGAGATGTTTATTTTCCATTTGTTTCGTCATTCTTCCTGTTGTAATCCAACATATACAGCATCTCTGCTTCCACTTCTACTTTTTTGCTTTCTTTCTCCTGTTCCCAAAGTCTGTAATTTTTCCTGCGTCACACGCCATCTTTGTGTTGAAAAACAAGCCTTCTTCGGGAGAGACTGGCTCCTCTCCCAGGCTCCCGGCTTGCTTACCGGTGACCTCCCTGGCTGCAACCCCTGCAAGTCCAGGATAGGTCTCAATAGGCGACATCTCCCAGCGTGGGAAAATGCACACCCCCTCCCTCCTTGCTTCCCAGCAGGAAAAGCAGATTAGGCAGAAATGTATTTACATTGCTTTATTTTTGACTCTTCAGCACTACATAAAACATGTCCGATCACTTTAGACTCCTTCCAGCAAGTGGCAAATACTTCCTTTACATACGCAAGAGGAAGGTCTCAAATTACACTCTGAGCAAATTCCGGTGAATCGCCCTGTAAACTGACTGTAACACTGTTTCCCACAGACAGTCCCATCATGTGATGTTTTCAAGCTACCAGTTTGCAGCTGCGTTGCTTTCATATCGTAACACTTTGTTTGTCAAAGTCTAACAAAATGTCTGGAGTCCTGCCAAACCCCCGGGAAGTCTCCAACTTATCTTTCTCATCCAACACTCAGCCGCTAATGATCAGGCATCCCTCCAGAGCTGTGGTACATCTTCAAAAGCCATAGCCCTAATTGCGGTTCAGTGGAAGATTGGTACTTTAAATCGTACCAATATTCTCACACAGTTCTATTTTTGTAACGATCCATATATATTATCTTATTCTCATTAATTTTCTTTTGCTTTTTATCAATCCATTAGCACCCAGGGGGAAGTTTTCCAAATAATTAAAGCAGCAAACACCATGTATATAAAGAAAGGGTAAAGCCTCCCCTCCCCCAGCATACTGCACTTCACTATGAAGAAAATCTCTCCAGGTCGAAATGTTGCTGCTCAGTGGCTGATTCATTTAGCAGATTATCATGTGCTATTAGTCCAGTACACATCTGTAAATTACATCCAATTTCATTCTAAAAAACAGAAGAACCTCTGCCCATAATGGCTGCATCAGATGGTTACCAATAAGCAAATTGCTTTGCACTCAGCGCCTCCTGGAATCCATGTCGGGATGAGAGCTAGGTATCAGACGATCTGCAAGTGGAGTTCACCCCCTCCCGAACACTGTGGGGGGAGGGCTTGCAATGACAATTACCCTCAAATCATCCTTGTTTATGATCTGTGATCGATCTCCACTAACATGGGAGCTGCCTTCATTATGGCAGAAAGCACCAGAAGTCTCAGGCTTCACTCATCTGAGACCTCCGGGTATAGGGCAGTATATAAATTCAATAAATAATAATAATACATACATTCAATAAATAATAATCTGCCGATAAAAAAATGGAAATGGGGTTTACCTCTATGCCTCTCCAGAGATATACAATCTCTAGAAATTAACAAATAGATTTCTAATAAGTTAAACTAATTATAATAGAAGCTTTGCCACCCACCCCACCTCACTCATGTTTAGCCCTCCACCGCTTTCCCCCTTTTCTTCACTAATGTTTCAACAAATGAAATTTGAAAAAAGAGACATTGCACATACTTTTGTAAACCAAGAAATCTTTAATTAAAATCTTTTAAGACGAAAAGGAGGAGGAAGAGGGGAGGGGGAGATACTGAGTTCAGAGTAGAACAAGTACTAAGAAATATAAGAAGCATTTTTTAAAGGGGGGGGATTAACCAGTCATTTTTTATTAAAGCCTTTGTATTACAAAGCAAAGAGATAAGCAGGGAAAGGTATATCTGTCGTCTCCACTTTCAGTACATAGTTTTTTTCATGGCTCAATTCTTCTTTGAAGTCATCAGATCCAGGTTTGGACTTGAATGTCTCGCTTCTTTCTCCCATCTTCCTCCTCCTTAAAAAGCCTCTGTAATATGACCTTCAAGCTCTCCCTTGTTTCTTTTTTCCAACCAGGAAATATGGATTAATAAAATGCAGGTATATGGGTTTCTTTGAACTTCTGAACAGCCCCAGGACCTTGCCAAAAGTATCAGAATAGCAAGAGGGAAAAAGTGAATCATTCTGATTCTTTTGAAGCATCATATCTGCTGGCTGACCCGGAGTTCTACCTCCTCTCTTCCCTGTTCCTCCTCCTTGAAAACCCTCTGGAATACGACCTTCAAGCTCTCCCTTGATCGACTGTGTTTCTTCCTTCCAACCAGGAAATAAATCAAAGGGTTAACACTGCTGTTTAGGTAGCTGCATAAGAGCCCAATAAATATTTTAGTACTGTTTCCACTTTCAAGGGAAAAATGGATTAATGAAATGCAAGTAAATGGGAAAGCTAAGAAGAGGAAGAAGAGGAGGGCAAGTAGGATGGCTGTTACAGTTTTCCCCTTCTTCCTCTGTTGTGATCTAAAGTAAACTTTTATAAACAGGACCAGAGTGGAAACGGTCATGAGTGGGAGGCAAAGTATAGCATTCATTAGAAGCAGGTAGAAAAGGGGATTTGTTATAACTAAAAAATAAAAATAATCATGCTGATTACAGTGAGCAGGAAAGCAATGATCCATATTAAGGCACACACAAGGGTGGAATAGTGTGGTGGTCTGTGGCATCGATGCCAAAGTGGGAAGACGACAGAAACACACCTGTCCATGCTAATGGCTGTCAACAGATATTGACCAGTGTTGTACATGAACAATAAAGCAAAGGTGCCAAAAGATATTATATTGAAATAATAATCACTGGCATGTAAGAATGAAAATAACTCCAGAAGATATATAATGGAAAAAGTAAATAGGCATATGAGAGCCCCAAGGTCAGCAGCAGCCAGATGCAGGATGAAGGTGGTGAAATGATTCCTCTTCATGCAAAAGCCAAGAACCCAGATGACATTTCCATTCCCCATAAGTCCAAAAATGCTAATAAATGAAATGGAGATGGAGATAAAAAATATCTTCTATAGGATATGGTGATAATTCATGATCAAAACCATCCTGGTCAGTTCCATTTTCTGCTCCAAGATCTTCCCCTGAAGCATCCAAAGTGGACCAGGATCCCAGGCCATCATTGCTCATTTTGCTTAATCTCTGCTTTTGAGCTATTTCTTCTATGGCTCTTCCTACAAGGAGAAAATAAACAAATGTGGAGTCAGTTTTGGCTATAAAGCTCAACCATATTAAACTGAGACACTCAAACAATAACAAAAGAGACATGCTGTAGTGGGAATTCATGACTGATAAACAAAGAAAGAAACAAAAACTTTAGGAATATTCTTCTTTAGAATGTTTTTCAAAAATTATCAGTTTCAAAGGTTATGGGGGGGGATGCAGTTCGGCAGTGGGTTATGGATTTTTCCCCCAATTAAGGAATCTGCAGGCACAGCATCAGTAAGCATATCATTTTAAAACTAAAATTCCCCTCTTCTGCTCTCTGAGTCAGACATAACATCTGAAATTAACGTGTTGTGTGCTATCCACTGAGAGTGGGGCGGTTGGATGGGGTCAATGTTTCAAATCTGGAGTGGAGAAGAGGAATGGGAGAAGGAGTTGAACATCAAGAAAACAAAAGCCATTATCAGTAGTAGTACCCCAGCCACATTGGACAGCTTCCAATATATATGAAAACATAACAAAACAATGCACTGGGTAGGCATGTGTAAGTTTTTATTATTATTAAAATGTCATTTTTAACAAAACCAGATTAAATAAAACTCAAGTCAAATCCACTGTCCTGGTCTCACAGTGGCCAAACAGATGCTTAAGGGAAGCCTACAAACAGCTTTGGAACACAAAAGTCCTCTCCTCTGCTGTGGTTTTCTGCTGCCCCAACAGCTCTTTGATCTCCCAACCCCACTCGGGGCAACTTTGACATTTGTGGGAGACCAACCTCCTTTTTTTTTTTTACGAGGGCATGGGGACACTTCTCTCCAATCCCAGATTTGATAACATGACCCCTAACATTCTTCAGATGGAAATAGGGATATTTTCCACTCCTCTCCTATTGACCCTCCTCGACCCCCATTATTTGTCCCCCACATAGTATTTCCTAACATAAGAAGTGTCACCACCAGTAAATGGTTTATGAAAGAAACACACACTATGAACGATAACAGAAAAATAATCTACACAAGTTAAAATGAGTTTAAAGCAGCAAAATGAGAGCTAGTCTCTCTCTCTCTCTCTCTCTCTCTCTCTCTCTCTCTCTCTCTCTCTGTGTGTGTGTGTGTGTGGTGTGTGCATGCTCACATGTGCTGATGAGCCTGAAATTGAGATTTTTTAAAAATAAAGTTGTACCCCTATAGAAGAGCACTTGTGAGGCAGATTATTTGTTTCTCCCAGCCCTGTATTCCCTTCCCCAAAGATACAACCTGGGCTTTTCTGCCTTCAGTGCATGTACACTTCTGCTTATGGTTCCCCTTCCGCTTTTGCAAACGAACTATGCCAACTTGAGACATTCCCATGCCTGTGAGCAACTGTTGATCAGCAGTCTAGTACAACATCAACCTCTGTGCAGTCCCTGCCCTGCTGGAGAAGGCAAAACAGAAATGGGGAACACAGAACAAGATGAAAAAAGTGGTGAAACTGATTGAGTGGATAATAGACTGCTAGAGGTATTCATGGTATTTTAAAAAGTGGACATAAGTGGGCAAGTGAAAGCAATAAAGGCTTTTCTCATGTTTGCTTTGATTTAAGAAAAGAAAAACAGATCCAGGTAATTGAAAAGCAATGATATACTTGAATATATGCCTTATATGAGCCCCCTCTTCACTCATCTTGCATTCAGTAAGTGCATAGGTTAAAATAATAAGCAAATGCAAAGCTAAACCTTTTCAGATTAGTCTTTCATGTTTTGTAGCTATTTTGGAGTGGGTTGTTAAGGTGAAATGACTCCTGCTCTTTAATTGCCAGGTAAAGGGGCCAGTGGCACTTGCATCTACCTGAATATATGGGGGGGGGGTTCAGAGAGTCACTATGATAGGTTTCCCATATTCCCCAAAGTGAAAATCCTTGACATATTCCCTGGTATTTCCTGGACATTTTGCAAAATTTAGTGAAAATCCCAGACGTGTGCAGGAAAATCTGGACATATAGCAGCCCTACTCTATGAAACACATCATCTTCCTTGGCAAAAGCTCTCAGTTCCCTTTCCCTCTTAAGCCTGTAACGAAACCTAAATAGATCTTATTGAAATAACTGGCTAATCTTTCCCTGTTCACCTCACCTCCCATTCTTTCTTTCTTTGCTTCTCCATTGTTCAATTTTAGATTGAACACAGCCTCTCCAATCCAACATGAATGCAATTCTTTTATTCCCCATTTATGCAGGGACAGAGGATGGGTGTGTGTGGTGGGGGCCGGTACTCCCTGGGTGTCACCACTGAGGAGAGTAACAAAATGCCAGGTGGCACTCACCACGGGGGCCTGCAGCACGCCAGAGCCACATGTCTCTGCTGGTAGTGACACAGTGGCTTGGGCACCCATAGGCTCCAGAGCCAGTGTGGTGTAGTGATTAAGAGTGGTAGACTCGTAATCTCCACTCCTCCACATGCAGCTGCTGGGTGATCTTGGGCTAGTCACACTTCTCTGAAGTCTCTCAGCCCCACTCACCTCACAGAGTGTTTGTTGTGGGGGAGGAAGGGAAAGAAGAATGTTAGCCGCTTTGAGACTCCATCGGGTAGTGATAAAGTGGGATATCTAATCCAAACTCTTCTTCTTCTTCTTCTCCACACTGCCCCAAACAGTCTGCCCGCCTCCTCCCCCTCAGCTGTAGGGCGGCTGAGTGAGAGGAGGCAGGCAGACTCCTTGGAAGCCCCATGGAGTGTCCTGCCCCAGTGCCCGGTTGGCTTGTTCTGCCGCTGCATCTATGAGAAGTTGCCTGTTGAGAAAAACTATCTGTATGTCAAAAGGCTATATTTTTAGTTCAGCAGGAAGCAGGGCTGTCACAAGACTGCGTCGATACTCCGTCTCCATTCTCTGTCTCTGTAAAGCAGTTTCGTGCAAAATGCATGTGTGCCAAATGCATGCATGATTCTGCCACTGTGCCATGGCTCACCTGCCACCCTTCCAAATGAAGTATGTTCACATACGTACTGTACCTGTGAGAAGCTGTGGATCAGATATCATGAGAAGGAGAAAGCAGGAGTCACAGCGTTCTGTGCTGGGAAAAGTAGGCAGTTGGAGGATTTGCAGGAATCAATGCAATCCCCAAGCCACAAGGGAAACCTCTACGTCTGACCAAGCTGACTGCAAGATGTTCTGTAACCTACCCGCTCCTCTTCATCTGTGCTTAATCAGCTGGCCAACATCTTGTGACAAGAAGAAACTGCATTTACTGGTGAACAAGATAGTCATCAACAAAATTAGGAGGAGGCTGTTGCCCTCTAATCTCACGGTTGTAGAAAGTACTCTTGAGAAAAGCTGGTTTGCCAGTGTTAGGGATGGGGGAAGAAGCTAACACCTTTGTGACTTGACCGGGAGTAATTCATTTATTGATTAAAACCATACCATGCTTCTATATTTCCATGCTCAATATGGTTAACAAAATTACAGATATACATGACAGTAGAAAAACACATGGAATATTGCAGCCAATTTATATAACTATTAACTAACATAAGGGGCTTGAGAAGTTCCTTCTGGAAATTGGTAATTCCCTTTACTTTTCCATCCACTCTGAGGAATTCATGGAGGGTAAAACTACATATCAGGTTCTTCTTCTGCTCTTATATTCACTTGCCTGGGTGTAGGTCAAATGCATCTCTTAAGTTTTCACTGCAGAATAGACGAGTACATGGTTTGCATGCTGTTATTTATTTGTGCTACTGGATGTGTATGGCTATATGTAGTAATTAAACATTATTCTTGGATTCAATTAACTTTGTTTTCTAGCTCCAGCTTAGAGCAGAACACGAAAAAACAGGCAATGACACCACAAAACCTTTGAAGTGTCTGGAAGAGAAGACAGTTTTTCAAACCTGTTTTGTTGACAACAACCAATAATAATTTTTTTCCATATGTGAACAACAGAATAAACCCAAAAATATACATACAAGATTATTTCATATGTAAGTAGAAACGTAAGAGAAGAAGCTGTAGGGCCTGATGATACGTACACTTGAGAAAAGTTTGTTTCCCAGGAAGCAGGAAGCAGCTAACAACTCTGTGACTTGATCGAGTGATAATCATTTATTGATTACTAATAGCATAGTATACTTCTTTCTGTCCATTCTCAACCTGGTTAACATAATAATGTATATACAAAAAAGTACAAAAACACAGGGAATATTGCAACCAATGGATAAAGTAACGTAAGAGCCATGAGAAGTTTCTTCTAGAAATTGAGGGTTTCCAGCATATTTTTTCCCACTTCCACACGTCACCCCCTGCTAACTACTCAAAACTCTGCCATTGTTTACAACCTCCGCTTTCCTCATATCAGATTCCCTCAAGGATGCAGTGTCCTCAAATATACCATTGCTTGAAGGGATTTAACTCAAACTGCTGCTGTTGTTTACAATTGCCAATTTTTTCCTCTCATTTCCCCCCAATCCTGCTTTATACAAATGTCTGCTGTTGTTTGAAGTCACCATTTCCCCCTTGAAAACTGGCTCTCTCTCTTTTTTTAAATAATTTTTATTAACAGGCCAATCACATCACATTAATTCCAAATAACAATAATTCCAAATTACACAGCC